AGGAAGGAAGGAAAATAAGGAAGGAAGGAAAAAATAAAGGAAGAAAAAATGAGAAAAAGAAAAAGAAAGAACGAAAGAAAGAAAGATGAAAAGGAAGGAAGAAAGGAAATAAAAATAAGGAAGGAAAGAAGTAAGAAAAAATGAAAAAGGAAGGAAGGAAAATAAGGAAGGAAGGAAAAAATAAAGGAAGAAAAAATGAGAAAAAGAAAAAGAAAGAACGAAAGAAAGAAAGATGAAAAGGAAGGAAGAAAGGAAATAAAAATAAGGAAGGAAAGAAGTAAGAAAAAATGAAAAAGGAAGGAAGGAAAATAAGGAAGGAAGGAAAAAATAAAGGAAGAAAAAATGAGAAAAAGAAAAAGAAAGAACGAAAGAAAGAAAGATGAAAAGGAAGGAAGAAAGGAAATAAAAATAAGGAAGGAAAGAAGTAAGAAAAAATGAAAAAGGAAGGAAGGAAAATAAGGAAGGAAGGAAAAAATAAAGGAAGAAAAAATGAGAAAAAGAAAAAGAAAGAACGAAAGAAAGAAAGATGAAAAGGAAGGAAGAAAGGAAATAAAAATAAGGAAGGAATGAAGGAAGGAAGGAAGGAAGGAAGGAAGGAAGGAAAAAGGGAAGGAAAGAAAGAAAAGGGGAAGGAAAGAAAGAAAAAGGAAAAGAAGTAAGGAAAAATGAAAAAAGGAAGGAAAAGGAAAGGAAGCAAGGGAAAAGGAAAAAAGGAGGGAAGGAAAAAATGAAGGAAGGAAAAATGAGAAAAAGAATGAAAGAAAGAAAGAAAAGAAAGGAAGAAAAGAAAAAAATAAGGAAGGAAAGGGAAAAATGAAAAAGGAAGGAAGGAAAAAGGAAAGGAAGGAAAAAAAGAAAAAGGAAAGAAAGGAAGGGAAAAGGAAAAAGGAAGGAAAAAGGAAAGAAAAGGGAAGGAAGGAAGGAAAAAATAAAGGAAGAAAAAAGGAAAAAGGAAGGAAGGAGAAAGGAAAGGAAAAGAAAGGAAAGGAAGGAAGAAAGGGAGGCAGATTTTTGGGGAATTGACTTGGGAAGCTGATTGGGTGCCCCTAATACAGTTTCTGACTGACTGATTGAGTGCCATAAGTTGACTTACAACTTGAGAAACGTGGGGGGGGGGATTTTCTGCTCTCACCAAGTTCTTCCTCCGACATGGGAAGGTAATAATCCACCATCTCTTCCGTCCTCTCCAACATGGTGTCCACTCCACTGGCCACGGCTTGCCTGAACAAAGTGGCCATCTCCACGCCTTCCTGGAGAGCCCCAGAGCGCTGCACTTGACGGGCGGCCTTGACCGTTTTGGACACCACCGACCGAGTAAGGTCAACGCCATCGTTGACGGTCTCCTTGCCCAGGTTGACCACGTCAGCTGCTCGGTGAGTCACGAGACCCTTGGCTTCATTGGCGGCGTTCCGGGCCGTGTTGACGGTGGAGCTCACCACGGATTTGGTCAAGGTGATGCTGTCCTGGACAATGTTCTTGGTAAGGTCAACGGCTTTGGTCACTCTCTGGGTCATGCGGCCCTTGGCTTCACCAGCGGCATTGACGGTGGACGACACCACCGTCTTGGTCAAGGTGACACCATCTTCGAAGACCTAGAAGAAGGAAGAAAGAGATCAAAGGCCGAGCGAGAATAAACTGGGTGGACATTCAACCTCAAGGAAGGTTTCTCGTCAAAGTCCAAGATTGGAACTATCTCTAAGACCTTCAAATCCCAAAGTTTGGGGACTTTGTGTTGGAGACAGCAAGGGTGGCCGGTCATCTAAGACAACCTGCAAATTGTCTTCATTTAATGACCCCCATAATCCCTTGCGGGATGGATTCTGACCAACTGAATGGAGCTGAATATTTCCTGGCCAGTTGCCTTTCCCTGTTGCCAATGTGGAGTTTTGTTCAGCAGATATATTCTCATTGTGCCCAGAGAGAGAAATATCCTGCCTCTACCTGGGATCGAACTCACAGCCTCCTGATTGTGAAGCCAGAGCTCCACCTCTAGGCCACCCCACCACTCTAAGACAACCAGCAAACGAACTCAATATTTGTGCAAGAACCAGAAAACTGTTGAGTGGGAAACTCCAAGTAAAATCAGAAAATAACCCTGGAAAGCGACTTGTGATATATACTAGTTCTTGAGTTACGACCAATCACTTAGCTACTGTTTGACATTATGACCTGCCTGCAAAAAGGAAGTTACAACCCAGTTCTGAAGTTCCGACAGTCACATCCCTCCCTTAAGTAGTCCTCAACCTATGGCCATATTGCAGCTGCTCGTCAGGATGGTCGTAAAACAGATTGGTTGAGTGACACGTATAGCTGTTTGAACCGTGGTTACATCCCATTTTGGGGCAAAACCTCACCCATAGCAAGCCATGAGTTCGCCTAATGACCTCAACATTCACTTAACAACTGCCCTGTTCATTTAATGACTGCCTCAAAAAAAGTCTTGGAACTCTGGATGATTGGTGACATTATGGTCAATTGAAAATATGAATGTATATTATAAATTAATGGGNGAACTGCAGAACTGCAGTCAGCTGAAGTAGCCTGCAGTGCTGCATTTAACCACTGCGCCACCTCGGCTCTTCCGGTGCTGCTTCAAATGCTACCCGTTTTCCCCGAAAAATAAGCCCTCCACGGTAATTAGCCCAATTTTGAGCCCATGCGCTAAAATAAGCCATTTCCCCCCCAAAAATACGCCCTAAGTGAATAAATAAAAGGGAGAATAAATTAAAGCCGAGAGCCAATTCGGAGCAGGGGTGAAGGCACCATGCCAGAAAGTGGGAGGTGGTGAGTTCTAGTCCTGCCCTAGGCATAAAGCCAGCTGACTGATCTCAAGCCGGTCGCCTTCTCTCGGCCTTGAGAAGGAAGCAATAGCTTGAGGATTTGGGAGGTTTCGAAACATGAAATACCAATTAGAATAAGTACATAGAAAAAGCCCTTGGCTCACAACAGTTCATTTAGAGACGCCGAAAAAAGTGCATTTTTCACACTTAACGACCGTTGCAGTGACCAGATTTATATTCAGATGCTTGACAACTGCCTCGCATTTATGACGGCCGCCGTACCCAGGGATCACGCAATTCCCCTTTTGCGCCCTTCTAAGAACGGGGAAGCCAGACTTCCTTAACAACCGTGTGGCTACTTTAACGACTGCCGTGATTCCCTTGTCCGATGGGTGAAGAAAAGTCGCAGAAGGGGGCAAAACTCTCTGAACCAATGTCTCACTTAGCAACATCCATTCGAGGCTCTGCTGCGGTCGTAAATTGAGGACTGCCCGTAAACCACTTCTGAAAAACCCCTTGCAAGAAGTCAATTGCAGAAGGACTGGGATTGGAAGGAAGAAAAATAAAATAATGCTATTCACTCCCATCAGCAGCTCAGGGAAAGGTCTACCAGCCATGAGACAGCCCCCCCCCCCCCCCAAAAGGGACTTCCAGCCTCCTTTGTAATTTTTTCCCCCTCCAGTTGGAAAACCTGGGATAAAACTTCTTTCCACGCAGCCCCTGAGGAGGAAATCTGCTCCCTCCCCCCACCCAGCTGATTTTGCAAAGAGGGTGGGGTGGGGGGGTCTCTGGTGAGGGGCTGCCCGGGGAGACTCACCTGGGGCTGCGGCCACTTTAAAAGGCCTGAGCTGGGTCTGGTGAGCAGGAGGCGGAAATCTTCTTAACCCCCCCCCCCCAAAAAGCTCTTCGCTCACCTCCGCCTCTC